TTATAACGCTAAAAACCGGGTTTCGATACTTGTGGTGGGCACAACACATATAGGCCATTGTGTAGCTTTCTACTTAATTACAAACAAAAACCATGGTCACAGTTACAAGTGATAGGTTGAATGTTTGCAAATGTTGTGAACCAAATGTAGTCACAATGAGGTTCCTCTTAAAGTTTCAGAAAAAGTGGTCGTCCAGAAACATTGAATCCAATCAAAAGTGGATAATGAGTTATTTCTTGTCATTGCACACATTTTCACTATCTTACATCTTTCAGTAACTGACAGGCTTAACAGATATGATTGATCAGGCCTAAAATCAACGAAACGCTTAAACAAATACATGTCAAAATGGAATGGCCCTGAGTAAAAATAGCCTTGGTTTGGAAAGACTTTTTATCAACCCTTAACAACCTTTGGGAATTTTATTGATATTTTCGAAGCAAAAGATCGAGCCCTAAATTTATGTGAAGTTTGATATGAGAAATTGGTCTGGCGAATTTTATCTTGTTTAAAGTTTCCTCGAAAACATGTAAATTTCTTTACAATCGACTCACGGTTTTATAGTTACCTAGAGTCATATAGGCAAAACATATAAATTTCTCTTCGAGCGCCTCACGATATTAGGGTTAAATAGACCTAATACAAAAGCGAGTTCCTCTACCTACGAGCAACTAAAGATATTGGGGTTAGACCCAGTGCCGTCTTAAGACTTGGGCTAATTGGGCTGTAGCTCAGGATCTCGAACTTTCCAGGGGCCTCCATTCAAAATATAACTAATTCAAGAGATGCGCTAAACTGTGTTTGTTTCCGCTGTCCGAGCCGAATTCTCAGGAAGGCGATTAATTTCTGTGTATTTTATATTTATATTCAGGCGAAAGCTATAGTTTTGTAGATTTCTGTGGTTTTTGTTCTTTTTATTATACTCAATAAAACCTCGTGTTTTTACATCTTAACCATTTCTGAACTCGTATATTTTTGTATGTTTGTTTAATATGACTTATTATTTGTTTGTTTGTAATTAAGCACAAAGCTACACAATGGGCTATTTGTGCTCTGCCCACCACGGGTATCGAAACCTGTATTCTAGCGTTGTAAGTCCGTAGACATACCGCTGTGCCACTGGGGGGCAATAATATGACTTATGTAATATCGGTGAGCAGCCACACATTCGCCATTTTCTTTGTTGTTTTATAATATTCATTTTTACTTGTAAAATTTTATCGTTTAATTAAATACCATTATTTTTATGATTACTTCAGTATGTAGTTAGAATGAATAAGCGGTCCTACCAAAGCGGTACTGCAAAACGAAAAAAAAAAAGAGTATTGAAAGAAAAAAAAAAGAAGAAATTGCTAAATTACCAAAATTGACTTCATGATTGTAATTTAAAGAATTCCGAACTCAATTATAGAAGCCAGAAAAGGTAGTTGTCGCATTCTGCTTTTAAACGCGAATTGCATAAT